CTGTACTTTTATGCGATGATCAATCTCCATAAAGCTTTCGGCTAGGTTTGGCTCCGGATCTACGACCAATTATAGGGAGGGGAAATGTTGACATAAAAAACAACAAATCGTTGTGTCTCAGATACTGCACAATCTCAGCGAGAATCATTTTCCTTTTTTTTTTAAAATTCCCTGTAAAATGTAAAAACGATTTCAGCACCACGTGCCTTTAAAGATAAACTCTAAAAACATGTAATAATTTGTTAAAGAAAACATATTTTGAAAGTAACCTCCGTTCACTGAAGCCTTATGAAGCTTTTAGTTTAACCAAATTTTGAGGATGAAACCTGAAATTTTCAAAACCATGAAAAAATTGTTTGTTAAGAAGTGTTTATTTCATTTAAGCTTAGTGCAGTGACAAAAAGAGGAGAAAAATTATTTGCTACTCCAAAAAATGGTGAGGGTAATTTCCGAAAGTATGACAATGAAGCTTTTGTTAAGAAAAAGACAAAGTAAATTGTACGAGTTGCGAACACTGGTCAAAACAGTTTGTTGTAAGGGGACCAAATTTATAATTGAATTGTTTGCTTTGTTTTCAACGTGGGAGAAGCTAGGACTTGAGGCACATGTCAAAGGCAATGTTTCCTGTTACAAACAGGTGCTCTTTTTTTAGAACAGGTGTCTTCCTTTTAAATTTCTCACAACTGTGAGGAATCCTCAGCCTCCCACATCATTTCCACCCCTCCCTCCCTCCCTTCCTCCCTCTTTGTTCCATCTACTTGTGTGTATGTGCTTGAGTGTGTGTGTGTGGGGGGGGGGGGGGGGGGGTAGGGTGAGTTTAACAGTCTTATAAGCCCTGATATTTTGTAACTTGAACTCTTAGGTTGTTTTCTTTTATCTCCCAGTTTATTTTTCTGCATTTTTCGTTTCTCATTTCATTTCGATTTTCCTTCATTTACTTGATACCATTTTTCATTTTTTTTCTCTGTTCTGATCTGTCCAATCAGTCTTCTGTAAGGTTTCTCCAGCTTCTATTTGAATATTTGTTACAATACCATTTTTGTTGTTTCAAACTGGTGTACTTGGTAGACGATATTTTTCGTGCTTTCTCTGAAGAAAGCCATAAACTAGTATTGTTTTAAATCCCGAATTCAGCTCTTGCCAAATATTGGATTCAAAGCAAACCATCATGCCACTGTTTTGTGTTCAAATCCAATATTTTTGCTCCCTGATTTGATTTATACGTTTCTGTCCAACCCATGAGAATTGTTGCATTATAATAGTCCATCTCCTTTTCTAAATATCCAGATTGAGTCGAATACTGGGTCAGTTTTCAAGAACCATAATGGAAATACAAACTATGCTATCTGAGTCCGATTGCTGAGCTTTCATTTTTGAGGCGCATTTTACATTTTGTTCTTCTAAAATCACCATCATTGCTTTTGAGATAGGTGACTAGCATTAAAGTAATGGGTCTGGAAGACATTTCCAGCTCAACGTGTCCTCTATAACGCAGGCATATTGCCTTAGCGCGGAAATGGTCGCAATGGCTACTAGGATTTATTGGTTAAACGTCTTGATATTTATCTTTTTATTAATTTCTTGATTGTTTATAAGCCCGTAGGTCTCCAGCACAGACATCGCCTCTTTCCTCTTTAGTTCTACACGAACTGTATACTTATCTCTATCGCCAGTCTCTCAACTGTGTCCATGTCTTAGCAGAATGGACTCACAGCGCTCCTCCGGGATGAGTCTGCTTTCAAAATAGAAATCCTGTTTCTAGTAGGGTGATAAACTTATAGAAAATATACAACAGTCTCCGCCTAAGAACCCCACCGCTTACGATCCCAGTTCGCAAACGATTCCGCCGTTTTAAGAAAACAGAATTTTTACCATACAAAAGTCCCCCCTAAGATCCCGATCTGATTCACTCTGAAGGTTTACATTCAGCTACGATATCTGATTAACATCTGGAGAAATATAATACGTTCACAAACATCCAATCCTTCGTCTTCCTTGACACACATATATGTAATATTATCTCTCTCTCATAAAACTTCATGATATTTGATTTATATGACGTGGTGTTCCGTTTTCGGCCACTGCTTGCGAACATAGGCGTTCATTCCCATTGTTTTGGCGAAACTGAGCTTCATTAGCGGAAACAACTTCCCTTCAAGATTAAAATTTACACATTTTCAAAAAGCACAAAAGCTGTCTTTCTACACTTATTCCAATTCCATGATATGGACGCTCAAAATGGGACCTTCAGATGGAATAAATTGAAATAGGGAACCTATCCTTTAAACAGAATTTTAATCGTTGAGATTTGCACTTTTTACCCTACTGTGTTGAAAATTGTTGAACGTGTTTGTCTTTCGGGTTTCTTAATTTGTAAAAGCACTACGCACTCGGGAACCGTTGGTGTGATTTCAATTCTTTTATAAAAAGCAATATGTTAGATGCATTTGTCGTATTGATACAAACAAGGCCATCTGTGATGATAGTTTATTATTCGATT